TAGCACTGGAATCCAGGATGCGCATTTCGTCCTACTTAGGACTCGTCAGTTGGATGTACCTGGTGTAGTAGATAACGCCCTGGAGTTTGAAGCGATCGCTTCCGAGTCCAAATCTCAGCGGGAACAACATCACTCACTTGGAAGAAGATAAATCCAGCTGACAAGTCCCAAATAGGACGAAATGCGCATCCTGGATTCCACTGCTAGTCACGATCCATCATTAATAAAACGTTTTTAGTTTGTGTATGAAAAGTACGATGGCGTTGTGAGACATCAAGAGTGAGAAAGAATAGATTACTAATTTGGAAGGATGAATATTTGAAGATGAAACAATACATGATAAATAAATAATAATAATAATAACCATAACGATAAATGTACTTTTGATAACACTTGAAGTATGAGTGATAACAAAATGGATTATGTTATGGTTCATCGAATGTATATAACTCAGAAAGTAGCGTAAAATTGATGAAAATCGTAGATCAAAAAGGTGTTATTGTAATAGGACTTGACAAGCTATTAAAATGCAACCAATATTTTTCCCTTTTTTTTCTTCCTTTCCTTTCGTGATTAAGACAATTAAGAGAAATAACACTGGAAACTATTCAAACAAGAGTGAATTCGAAATAAACCATGTAGAATGAAATTGTGTTCTACCTTCTCTTCAGATATTATTTATAACTGCCTAGGCGAGTCAATAATGTTTGCCATATTAGTGGGATGGATGTCTAACTCATCTTTTCTGTTGACCATAGAAGGATATGAACAGATGTTCAAAGTTTCTGAAATGGTCCGGTCTTTGTGAGAAAGAAAACTCTTTTGTAGAACTTTTGTCTGTTTGAATGATATTTTATGACCTGAATATAGGGCATGAGCCATGACAGCAGAGCTTTTTTCAAGTTTTTCTAGATCATAGGAATTTTTCGGTGGATTTTTGGAACTTCAACCGTGTTCGGCTAGACGTGTCAGTACTTGACGTGATGTCTCTCCAATGTATGTGGCATCGCATTCGCTATAGTCTACCTTATAAATACAGTTTTGTTGTTCCAAATAGGAATCGGATCTTTTAATTTACACAGGTGTGAGTGTAATGTATTCGTCACCTTAAAGAATACTCTGATGTTGTAACGGTTAAGGATACGTCTTATTTCTTCTGAAGTGGATGTTCGATAAGAAAGTACTATAGTACTTATCTAATCTTTATGGCTTGGCTTTTTCGTATTTTTATTCGATAAAAGTTTTTCGTTTCTTTTTAATAGTTTGTTCAGATAGTTATTTTGTTTTAAGACTTCCGGAACAAGTTGCCTATCTGCTTGCTGAGATTCCACTTTATTTGGTATCCAATGTGATCTCGTCAACAGATTTTTGGCAACGTTTAACTTAGTTTCTAATGAATGAGCCGAATCGAAGTCAAGGTACTTGTTAGAATGTGTTTCTTTTCGATAGACATCAATGTCAAGTGTCCCATCATTGTTTCTTATCGCCTAGAAGTCAAAGAAAACTAACGTTCTGAATTCTGTTTCTAGTTCGATTGTGAATTTTACAGAATTGAAACGGCTTTTAAGGTATTCAAAAAGATTTCTAGTCCTTGTTATTTGGTTATAATGAAGGTGTCATCAACATACCTCCACCATATTCTTGGTTTTAAATTATGTTGGTTAAGTTGATCTGATTCTACTTTGTACATATATAGATTAGATACAATGGGTGAGACAGGTGAACTAATTGCTACGCCAATGGTTTGACGATAAAGGTCCCCTCAAAAACTTAGTTATTATTAATTTCATACAATTAGTTCTTTTCATAAATTTTTGTAAAAGTAAGAACAAGAAATATTGTGCGAGGAATCGAATTCATATTTCATATGCTCTAAATCTTCCACATACGCATTAAATTTAGAATTGTGGACAGTAAGCTATCAACAACACCAAACATCATCACACAGGTATATATAGATGAGAGAGAACAGAGATGAATGATAAAGTTCACGATCTAGACAACCAATATCAAGAACAAGTCACAAGTTGAACTTTGAAATCGATCAGTAACCATAAAGCAAAATACAACGTGGTAGTAGTACAGGTATATGGTTACAGCTCAAGGTGGTAGGAGGAATTCTGATGAAAGGGGGAGAACATCAAAGATGGTATTCAAAGTATATGAATTAATAGTAGACGAATGGAAAAGTATATGCTAACAAACATGATAAATTTTGAGGGAGTTGTGGAGATTTGGAAATATTTCAAGTTGTTATTCATCGTAGACTGACATCAGTTGGAGGAATAAAGGAACCTGTGAGCACTAGACAGCACTACTGAAGAGTCCTATGCTAGGACGAAACAGCTGTCCAGTGCTCCCAGGTTTCCTTTGTTCCTCCAACTGATGTCAGTCAACGTTGAATAACAACTTGAAACATGATAAAGATATAATTAGTAAAAGTAAATTGAAAATGATGGGAATATGAATACTGTTTGAGAATAATATGTCAGGCAATAAGACGAAAGAATAAAATGGTAAATAAAGCTGTAGGAAAAAAACAACTCATCACAGCAGTGCAAGGCGAGCCATAAACTCATTTTGTACACATAAATCTAGTTTTAGTCGATGGATTGCTGCTGCTTCTGCATAACGTAGCAATCTACTATTTGTTTGTCAATTAATTGCCTTAAAAGGTATGTTTAAGTCGACGGTATGACCTGTGTCTAGGATGTACTTGCCAATGGCTCTACTTGGTAGCCTTCCATCTCTCATTGATAGACTTTTCAGTACATGTTCAGAAATCATTTAGTAAGGATCCTCTCCATTTTTCCGATATATGTTTTTATCACTGTAGGTACAGATGAATAAATAAGGTCTCATATCTTAATTAGTTTCTCTGATCATGTTCTTCTTGTCATAGACAACTATTCATTTTCACAGGTAGATAAGTTAGTGAGATGTATGTATTCAGTCGGTGATTATTTGATGAATTCAATGCATCACTTTTGGATGGTAATCAAATAAACACGTTCCTATTTGACATGATTGTATCATTCAATTTCTCATTCTTAGAATTAAAATGTTTATTGATGAACTTTATAGGATATTCGTCGTCTAATAAAGTTTTTTTATATAGTATCCAGTTCATTTTTCAATGACTTCGTTAGAACATAGTGTGTTAGCTGTTAAAAATAAACTCTTGACTAAACTTCTTTGACAAACTAATTGACGGAAACTGTTAAATGATAAATGTTAATCGATCCAAGTTATTTTATAATAAATAGGCTAGATAATGATATCTTTATGATTATTTGTCCCTTGGGTTCCTAGTGGAACATAGGGTCTCAGTAGCACGTCTCCATTCCACTCTCTTCTCTGTAATCTTTTGAACCTAGCTTCAAGACAGCCCACAAGCTCTCATTTCCTCCTCACACAATCTCCCATCTGGGTTCCACTCGAGGGCCTGACGCGTGATGTCTGCGAATGGTCTTCTCAGTGCATCCTCAATCCACCTCCACTTCCTGCCTCTGCATATTTGTGGAGCGATAGGTTCTTCGCTAGTTGGTTCGTTGCCAGCCAGCCAGCAAGAGTTCCTTGTTCCTCATTCTTATTATTCTGGCCATCTGATCTTTAGTGTCAGTATCGAGCCAGCGTAAGTGGCAGTTGTTGATGAATACCTGTAGTTTATTGGAAATGCTTTTGGTAACGCGCCAAGTCTCTGAAGCATACAGAAGCACTGACGCACTTGACTGAATTCGTATTGAAAATTCGGATCTTGTTCCACATGCTGAGTGCAGAAGATCTCCACATTGGTATCAGGCTACTGAACGCTTGTCTTGCTGTTTTTCCGATCCTGACTTTGACGTCCTTGTCTGTGCCGCCTGTAGTTGAAACAGCAATGCTTAGATAGGTGAAAGAGACAACTTCCTTTAAGTTTCTCCTGTTAATAGTGATTGGTGTTTGTTGTTGTTGTCGGTTGGGCATCATCATCACCTCTGTCTTCTCTACAATCACTTGATATCTTACTGTATACAATTTTAAATTTATTGTGTAAATGGATGATTTAGAGTACACCAAATGTGAATTCGATTCCTCGCATAATATTTCTTCTTTTTGCTTTACAAAAAAATTCATTATTATGTAAAGCATTTTATTGAGCCAATGCACAATTTCTTGATACCATAAAAATCCCAACTTGGTTTGAATACATATAAAAATAGAATCCCTTATTATGATGTGAAGAAAAGTGACTGTTGGATGCGTACATCTATGTGTAGGCAAAAGTCTCCAAGTATTGGTTTCTAATGTCTGAAGATGATATGAGTGAAGATCGGTTAGAGTGGTGTTAGATTATATTTCTTTGTCTGACTAATCTCTTTTTCTTCTGGTTTCCTGAAATGATTGATTACGTTGAATTCATGTCTCTCATTCTCTTCATCTCTTTTTCTTTTTGTTGCTTTCTATCTTGATATGAATTTATAAAGTGTGGTAACTTGAATCGTTATACAGTATGCCAGGTCCTAGGTTGATAATTATTGATCACCAGTTAAACACAAACTAAACTTCTCTGATAACTGACAAATAAATGTGTCCTGCACACAAGGTAATCAGTTTTTGTCTTTCTAGTTTGTAGAAGTTTGTTAATATCAACCAGCCTTTTACTGTGAATATTTTGTTGTAAATTTTAACAAAATATTTGAAGGATAACTAGTCAATCTGAAGCTGGTTCCTATCATAGTTTACTATTCATGAGTCAATCGATATTAAACAGGTAGGGTGAAGTAAACATCTCATTACTATACTACTATGCTATTTACTATTAAACAGATACAGCCTTCTTTCGATTTAAAAGTCAAAATCATTAGAAAATAAGGCTAGTTAGCAAACCTTTGAATCGAATCGCAAACAAAGTAACAACCACCTAGTGAACCTAAATTTCTAGTAATTGATCTTTTAATATCCCCTTGTAAGTATACACTATTTGACAACAACAAAAATGTTGGGTTAAAACAAAATACCTTTTGTTATCCTTGTGGATAGTGTATTTGGTCCAGACCATAATTGAATATTTGATGAATAGTTTATATCAACATCATTTGATGTAATTTTTGATTTTGTATAAGTTTTGGAACGTAGACAAGAGTTATTTTCTCTGATGAATTGATTTTCTGAGTAAGATTCTCAGTTGACTGGAGAGAATTTGATTTACATAAGTAGTAGGTGAAATATTATCCAGTATTAAATCGTCAATTTCTGTTGATCTAATAAGGAAAATGTACAGTTGAAAAGCATCAAGATATATATATATATATATATATATATATATATATATATATATATATAGAGAGAGAGAGAGAGAGAGAGAGAGAGAGAGAGAAATACATTGGAAGCAGAATAAAAAAGATAATATTTCTTTATACGGTTTCAATGTCCAATATCTTGTATCAAGATTTGACTTTTAAGCAGACTCCTACAAATGTATTTAAGATGATAGAGAATATTTATAGGTTAGGAGGATGATTTGGATGGTATTGTGTTCTTTGATCTGGTTAGTTCAATTGTGAAGCTTACATTGTCACTCTGAAGTTTGTACTGATGATGATTCTGTCTAGAATGACTTCACGAGGACTTCACCACTAAACTCAAAATCATCCAGATGTACTTAAATTGTCTAGTGAAATATAATCACCTATTTATTGCTGAGAAATTTTTTTTGTGGTGGTGATTGACGTTTGAGTTAGAGACGATTCGTTTGTGCGTTAGGTTCGTATCGCTTGTAGAGTGTTAAGTTGTACTACCGGTCATAGTAAATTAGAGACGGGTGTATTTTGAAATGCAACCCTCATGCTTAAAGAAATTGATGAGACAGCAGCTTATAATGATGGAGTTACTTGGTGGCTTATGGATATCTTCCCCAGTCGGTTTCTCCCCAACCAATGACAATGTCGGTAGCAGCATATTCGAATTCCTCTATGACCCAGATGCACACATAACGTCCGATACATGGTTTCGCAGATATGAAGATTAGTTCAAAGAACATTTCGCAAAAAGAGACGACGCATGGAAGTTCAGATTTTCGTTGAGACAGTAAAAAGCTCTGTGTCGACGGTCTATCCTTTCTTCTTGTATTCATGCATCAGTGGCATTGTTTTGGTGGTGGTTAACGTTCTGATTTGTGTTAGAGTCGATTTTTTACACTTTAGGTTCATATCGTTCGAAGTTTAATAGGCTCGTATCGCTCGTAAAGTGTTAGGTTGTAACTACCGGTTACTTTAATCGAATGCAGCTGCAAATCTTAATATAACATATGAAAAATAAAATGACTTTCAGTCACCCAACTAAATCAGTTGGAGAATCATTGAAAATCTAAGAGTATTAGCCGACTGGTTCATAATCTAGTATAGGATTCCTGAACACTGCGCAACCACCACTCCAACAAGGGTTGAGTCCAAGACTAACAGGTCAAGATGAGCATATTTCCACTGAGCCAATGGGTTAGAATCCAAAGGTCTAAAATTTGCCACTTCTGCCGAATCGTAGTATAGCATGACCACCATCTAACGCAGTCAGTATTTATCCTTACATCCAGCATAGATTCTCAACAGAACCAAGGGAAATCCATCTCGAAGCAGCTGTCCAGTGATTCTGCGATTCGAATATTCTACAACCGATGCCAGTTCATGGTCGGTATCATTTGGAAACCAATCAGTAGCCACAGACCTGAAAATTAAATGACTAGGCATGCATCGCACGTATCTCCTAGACACTTGAGTTGATGAAAGTTCATAACCACGTCAAGTGAGTTTCCTCTCATCGCTGAAACTCTAGAGAAGAATTGAAGTGGTGGAGAATATTTATAGCTCAGGTGTATGGTCTCGGTTGTATTGTGTTCTATGACCTGTGTTGTTTAATTCGTGAAGTTTTAATCGTCTTCTTAGACAACGTCATCACCCAACACACTAATCAAATACTCAAACACACTAGACACAACCCAACAACGTACAAAATTACTTGCATACGGACTCTATTCAAAAGAGTGAGAACACATTGCAGTACAACAACTTCACACAGAAACGAAGAAAATTACTTGATATCCATCCTTAAGAAGAACAAGCTACCCACAAAACTTCATCACAAATCCTTATCCCATTCAACATCACTACAAAGTCATCCACAAATATCAATAAACCCACCATCCTACCATACACATAAAGAATATATCAGAAATCACAACAAGATTACTCAACCACTTCATGGAATCGGAATGACTCATCAATCAACAAATTCCCTACAAACACCATTGTGCAAAACCAAAGGATGCAACAACCGAAGAAGACAAACCGAACATCATTGACAAAATCAACTACAATAACTGAAGTCAGCACTACACTGGACAAAGTGGTCACCCTCCCCTCACCTTCGTCTACATGAACACCAATCGGCTGGCTATTCGACACACGACATTTCACCACTCATTTCAATCCACATGGATAACCACAATGGACATGAATTGAATTTCGACAATGTGGAAATGTTGGACAGAGGAAACTGAAAGAAAATCAGAGAATTGCTAGAAGCTTAGCATTCAGATGAGTCAGTCAATGAGCAATCAATGGAGAGATGTATAGACATAGATCCAGTCTATCAACCGATGGGAAGAATGATAAGTGACAGGAAGGTCAGAGGTGAAGTAAGTAGTGGGGGGGGGGCAACGGTGAAATCTATGCATTCGGTCAATGACACAACAATGAAAGGAAGCAACCAGTCAGGGACCAGTTGGTCAAGGCAAGCTAGTGAATCATTCACTCATGGAGAGATATTGACAGCTCACTCACTTCATACTGAAGTTAGAGAAAAATCGGTCCAAAGCAGTGGAAAATAATGACATAGAGAAAGAAGGAGTAACAAAACTCCAAATTCACTATAACGTTTAAGAGAAGGATGGTCTGAGGATGCATCTGCGCTACTGCCATCGGTTATTAGCCCTATCACTAAGAGTTTCCGAACCCTAGTTTCTCTTATCAAGTTGTTCTCAACTCTGAAGTTCATATTTCTCTATATAGCACAAACCAACATCCAACAACTTTTTGCAGTGATACTATACTCCAGTCCGGTGGCCCGAAACGTTTGCCACCTAAAACTTACTTCAGCTCACACTGAGTGAGGTGAAAGATGGTGACTAGGCATACGTTGCACGTTTTTCGAAGTAACCTGAGTCAACGAAGATTCACGACCACATCAGCTGACTTTCCTCTCCTCTCTTATACTCTACACCTGACTTCTTCATTACCACGTGTAGAAACCACGACACACAGTGTATGCTACGAGGACAACGGTGGCTAGACACTAGGATTCGTGCGGAATTAAGTGACGAGTCTGTAGAAATCTATTTAGTCAAACTGTACAGCAATACTATAAAATCAGTCTCAAGTACAACATCTTAGGAAGCAAGTAAGATAATTCGAACAATTCCACCTGTATGAGGTCCTCATCTACCTTTCTTTCCCGTTAACACACAAACACTGTGCATAATCACGTACAAACGGTGTACATCAAATCTACATGATACTAGTGTGTCTGATAAGCCGAATTCGAGATGATATTTGACTGTAAAGATTGATTGATTGACAATGAATGAGGCATAGAATTATCTGCCAGTATATTTATAATCTCGGAGCAGTTTGGAAGTCATGTAGTCGATACATGATGTAAAATGAAAAGCTAAAAGGAACTGGTAGATGCCTGAACCACATGATGCTGTCGAGTCAGTCTGACATATACTTGCCATGTCTCGTAAGCACAATTCATCCACTTATATGGGTTACGCAATTCTATCCTCCTCTTCAACCTCCTTCAACAAAACACAAAGTCTTGTGCAAATTATCCGTATCAATATATGAACAATCTGATTCATTTGAATTTTGAGTCTGCGACTCACCATTATTCATTAAAATGAAACAGTCAATTTGATACAGAGAAAATGAGATAATACGTGATGATTGATTTCACCCAACAAGGAATTATTTCCAAACTATAATTCATACCGAAATAGATGAAGAATCGATTAAAAGCTCTTGAGCTGATCTGTGTAATGATGTTATCGAATAAGTTATAATTAAAGTGCCTCTGAAGATAAACAGAATAGTGGGACCGGTCATAGTTGCCTAATTTTCATGTTTTTCACTTTTATTGGTCTTCATTGAGATCCTAATTAACTGAGTTTCTATAGTGCATTGAGTACAATGTTTTCTTTATTTTTTAGCGATTTGTCAGTTAATAGTTATCCCTGGGATACACTGTCATATTAGACAGGTAGGTATATCACACTCCGATCGTATGAATGCATGTGGCTATGATTAAAGTTATAGGTTATAATTATTACTATTATTTGTCCCTTAGGTTGCTAATGAAACATAGGGCTTCACTAGCACGTCTCCATTCCACTCTCTTCTCTGCAAACTTTTCAACCTGGCTCCACAACAGCCCACAAACTCTCATTTCCTCCTCACACCATCTCCTCCATGTCACCCCAAACTGCAACGCCCAACTTGTTGCTTACCATCTCGGTTCCACTCCACGGACTGGCCTGGCCTGGCACGTCATGTCCCCAAATGGTCTTCTCAGTGCATCCCAATCCACCTCCACTTCCTACCTCTGCATATTTGTTCAGCGATAGGTTCTTGGTTGGTTGGTTGGTTCGTTACCAGCCAGCCAGCCAGCCAGCCAGCCAGCCAGCCAGCCAGCCAGCCAGCCAGCCAGCCAGCCAGCCAGCCAGCCAGCCAGCCAGCCAGCCAGCCAGCCAGCCAGCCAGCCAGCCAGCCAGCCAGCCAGCCAGCCAGCCAGCCAGCCAGCCAGCCAGCCAGCCAGCCAGCCAGCCAGCCAGCCAGCCAGCCAGCCAGCCAGCCAGCCAGCCAGCCAGCCAGCCAGCCAGCCAGCCAGCCAGCCAGCCAGCCAGCCAGCCAGCCAGCCAGCCAGCCAGCCAGCCAGCCAGCCAGCCAGCCAGCCAGCCAGCCAGCCAGCCAGCCAGCCAGCCAGCCAGCCAGCCAGCCAGCCAGCCAGCCAGCCAGCCAGCCAGCCAGCCAGTCAGCCAGCCAGCCAGCCAGCCAGAGTTCCTTGTTCCTCATTCTTATTATTCTGGCCATCTGATCCTCAGTAACGAGCCAGTGTAGGCAGTTGTTGATGAATACCTGTTGTTTGTTGGAAATGCTTTTGGTAACGCGCTAAGTGTCTGAAGCATACAGAAGCACTGACTGACTTCACTGAATTGGTGTTGAAAATCCGGATCTTCTACATGTTTTATGCTGAGTACAGAAGATCTCCACATTGGTATCAGGCTACTGAAAGCTTGTCCTGCTGCCTTTCCGATTCTGACTTAGGTGGTTAGAGGTAATAGACAAAACGCTTTGAACTAAATTGTATAGTTTCCCATCACAGAGATTGTCTACTCAGAGATTCAAGTATTATTCGAGAGGTATAGTGATGAATTCTCTAGTTTAGTCTTCATATCAAATAATGACTGGTAGAATTCGGTTAACACTTTGGATTAGAAAAGATATTTTTGGTATTGCACACAATTTTTTTATACAGAGTGAAAACAACAATTTTGGCAAAATAGCATAGATCCGTTAATATAAGAGTAAAACTTGGCACTGTGGTCGATTATAATTCCATTTTAGTCTATTTATTAGAAATATCACACAGTGAAACAGTAGCATCCACTTAATAACCACGTTTCGAACCAACACCAAATACATACAGTAATAGAAATGATTGTGCACCTGTCCCAGATATATGGAAAATTCTACTACCCTTGTTATTACAGAGAAGGAGAGAAAATTAGGAATATATAAAGACTGCCTCGAAGTTGTGGAGTTATCTGATATGAATATGGACAATAAATTGTGTCCGAAACGTGGTTATCCAGTGAATGCTATTGTTTTACTGTGTGATATTTCTAATAAACAGACTAAAACAGCATAGATCCATTTTTATTTCGGGCATTCTTCATCAGACTATTTAAGTACCAAATTAAATAGAAATGTTCACCTAATTGAATCAACTTGACAGATAGCTATCGCTTAGAAGAAAAGATAAAATTGATATTACATAACTGAAGTCAAGTAAACTGAACCATATAGGAGGTCAATCGTGACCCAAACAGTTCAGTGGTAACATCTTTGATTGAAACACTGGGTGACATGGTTTAGTATCCCATAGGGGATATGCCTTATTGACAAGGGCCATCAAGCATGAAGTCTAGATGAATCAGAGCTTTTGAGAATGGGAATTGAATAAGAGACTGAGAGAGATATATTACTAACATATTAGAAAGGTTACATGAAATATGCATAAAAGCTAAGAGATTAACATTGGCTAAGAAAATAACATGAGTAGAATGTAGTTAATTAGGTCATGGGTTTTTACTATTATAGGACTTTTTCACACCATTCAAAACTCCTTGGAATATGTCATACATTTAGTTTGTGGCAATATAAATCATGCGTCTAAGTTGTTCGACACCTAAAACCAAGACTATTTAAGTATTAATTTTATAATGGAACAAGAAAATGTGGACAGATTCAATATTTTTGGATCTGAGTATAAGGTGGGGATATGATAGTTTAGTCAGGACACTATTCACTGGAATAAAAACGCTATCCTCAAGAGATAAATAGAAAGAAGAATTTTATGTAATTGAGAAAGCTCTTATACAGAATGAATATCCGAAGAAATTCATCATGAAGCATCGAAAGGAATTTACTTAGACGCCAAAACACTAAACTGTTGAAAAGAAGCCTGTTTTCCTTCACTTAACATTCAAACGTGATGAACTGTCTGAAAGAATAGACAGAAGAATATAAACTGCATTGAAAAGGAGCTTTCCTGCTGTCACACTGATCTCAACTTACAATACAGTATGCTCAATAACACAGTCGAAAATAGACAAATACCTTTCCAACTTCATCTCCAGCTAGGTATATCAACTCAATGTGCTTGTGGAAGCAATTACTAGGATGGACGGAGAGAAAGATGTCTATATTCGACTTTATGAGCATATTCCGAGAAATCTCTGTCTGACACCTAGCAAGGTCTTTTCCAGCGCATCTGCAAGACACCTGATGGAACAAAACTTCAAATAGATGTTTTTCAATCCTTCAGGATAAACAACAAACAGAGAACCCAATGTTTACTACGGTTCGCTATCAAACATATTCAACCTGAATTATGTAATCAACCTTTCTTTACTCTGGTAACCGTAGATAATGTTTTTTACGTATCTGCATATAGTCTTCCTGTTCTCAATTGCATCATCTCTTCATGAATTACCAACTGACTGTTGTTCACTTAACGATTTCCCAGTTTTTTTTATGTAATTACATTACCTACTACCTCGTAAACAATCACTCTCACGACAATGATTTTCGTTTGTTATCACCATGCTCCAGCTCCACTCCACAGCTCCAGAATTTTCTATCTCATCAAATATAAATTTCCATTGATTTTGACTATGATTTGTGATCATTAATTCGTATTTCCCTGACTCACTCACTACCTTATTGTTAATCCTGGATTTCCAATCTCCATTTATTTCCATATAGTTAAAGTATGTCATACCATTATTATTATTATTACTACTACTACTACTTCATTTCACTTGTAGGGTGTATGCAGCTGATGAGAGGCCATGGAGTAAAATGAGTTAACTTAATTCTACAAATGTCTTTGTTCTTACATTCTTTAGAATATGTTCACATATGCAATGAGAAACTCTTCACTATGTTCGCCTAATATCTGTGATTTCATACCTAAATGTGAAACGGTATTTTCAATTGAATGTAATATGAAAAAGGGGACTTGTCAACATTACATTGTCTCATTGAGAAAATGTTTCGTAAAGACTGACTATCATAGTAATTCGATTGGTTTTATTGAATGCAAAACTTTTAGTGTTGTTGAGTGACTAGAAAATGTGTCTCCAATTAAGATTTTTTGAACAAATACGTTTCACCTCCTTTAATTTTACCTGCTTAACTAGACAAAACAGTTTGAATAGATTGTGATGTCTATTACACAAGAAGTGACCATAACAGTCAAGTAGGCATAAAGACAAAAACAACGTAAAACCTCGTATAGAAGTGCGACCCTTCACAATAGAATGCAAAGAGCAAGTTAATCGATAAAAAGTGATATCAAAGTAGACAAGTGTGTGGACTGGGGGGGGATATGAATTTGAAAATCAAAGTTAGTGAAGACATTTAAGCTGTGGCTCAATGACTTAGGGGGATGATTGTCAACCAGTGGGTCACGGGTTCGAGCCCCGCTTCGTTTCCCTAGGTTTAGGAAGCCATATATTATCACTAGCCCTTATGCAACACATGCAGTTCATTGCCTACTGCATGGATGTATCGTTTCTTACGTGGTATCAGAGAGTGAATGAACCTACACCGTGTCACTAAAGGCCCTCAACTGCTGATTTCTGTCGTCTCGAGAACCACAGACAGGCATTCTGTATTGTCCTATGCAGCTTAAACCAATTGTCAGACATCTCAAAAACTAATGCTACTACTTGAACTGGTCACCCTAAGACCTCTTACAAACTAATCAAACTTCTTCTAGCATTGCACGTTAAAGAAGGTAGTGGCTTGGGATGCACAACACATGCTCAAACCACCTCAGTCGTTGGAAGTTAACAACCTTATCAACTGACTTGCCTGTTTTTACCTAGTATGTCTCACCTAATCTGAGCATCGCTCACATGGTGATTCCTCCAAAACGAGGCCAATGCTACGCAGATACCTGTGTTCGAAAACCTGTCATCGTTAGATATCTTCTAATTTCAACGGTCATGCGTCATAGTATACAAGAAGATGAAGATTGCAGTATAGTATACTCATTGAACTGATAAGTTCCAAATCAGGAACACCATGCACCATGAATTCAACTGTAGTGATTATGCAGTGGATGCTACTGACCAGATGGATATAAGTAGTATATATTGAGGAGTCGGAAAAAATCATAGGCAATTAACAGCGATGGCTAAATATTATGCCCAGAGGAACGCTAGAGGCAATCTGAGCCTACTGATAGCAAGTCAAGACAGAAGTAGAAGAAGAAATGAGACATATTGTGCAAATACTATTTCAATGGAAAGCGTACACAATATTTCATTACTATTATACAAAATGTCATAATAAACATTCTGTCCTACATCTCAATTTTGTTATTTCTTGCAATTTTGAGGGAAGTTGTGGAGATTTGGAAATATTTTAAGTTGTTATTCATCGAGACTGACATCAGTTGGAGGAACAAAGGAAACCTGGGAGCATTGGACAGCCAACTGTTTCGTCCTAGTATGGGACTCCTCAGCAGTGCGCACCCACGACCCCGACCTCCAGGGATCGAACCCGTGACCTTCAGGTTCCGCGGGCAGCTCGTTACCACTGATCCATTGGGTCAGAATCCAATGCTCCATATTTCCAACTTCTGTTAGATCACGATATAGTGCAACCGCCACCCAATGTCATCGTTGAGTAACTGTCCTCATGACCATCAGGCTTTGACTCCACCGGTCACGACTCAATGGCTCAATGGTAACGCGCTGGCCACGGAACCTAAAGGTCGCGGGTTCGATCCCTGGAGGTCGGAGTCGTGGGTGCGCACTGTTGAGGAGCTCCATGCTAAGACAAAACAGCTGTCCAGTGCTCCTATGTTTCCTTTGTTCCTCCAACTGATGTCAGTCTTCGATGAATAACAACTTGAAATATACATCTTTAATTTCAAAATGAAATAATATTTATCAATCAACTTACAGTAATTTTATATCTTCTTTTTCTGTTGTCTGTACATTGGTCATAACATTATCACGTTTTTCATTTATCAATTTTAATGCATTACGTAAACGTTTAGTTTGTTCTGTTAACAGAATGATTCGAAGTTCATTTGCTTGAATTTGTCCTTCTAATTCTTCATCAACACTTTTATCCCTACTGAACATAAATATTTTATAAATAAAAAAAATTGTTTGTCATTCATGTTTTATATAATTTTTGATTTCTTAAAGTTTATTTGTCTGAACTGTATTGATTTGTTTTTGTGAACATATCAATTCTCTGTCTAGAGGTTTGTAGAGACTTATTAATTGATTTCAGGTTGGAATTCATCATCGATTGACATCTGTTGAAGAAATATTGGAGACCTGACAGAGCTGGATAGCTGTTTCGTCCTAGTGTAAGACTCCTCAACCTCCTCTCTCTCTCTCTCTAAATGTCTCAATATTGCCACAAGTTCTCCTTCTTCATCATTTGTTAAGTTGTGACTTGGAATGAGAGTTCTGGATGACTATTTCAACTTTCTTAGAACTTATCAGTTGTATATTCCTGCTTTGGAATTGAAGTTCCCATCAACAAATGAACCCGGGAAGTTTTAAAGGAAATCATTGATTCACGACAATCACTTCATGTATAGCTGTTATCTATAGTTAATCAGGTTAACATTTTCTCATTTTTCACAATAACACATCTAAGTGATTAATCTACAGTGCCTTATCTGATTCTGAGTATTAATGTTTGACTCTCAATAGAAGACTTGGAGACCGTCATGGCTCTTAATCTTGTAGTGAGTAATACCACGTATGAGGTTATAAAAATATCACTGCTGTATCAATATAGTGGACCGTTAAACTTGATAAAAAGTCAAGAAATAAGTAGATGGATTGATTTTAGAAGAAGTGAAAAGTCCTGTGCAAAAAAAGCAAAACCTTTTAAGAGAATAACTATGCTTTGAAAATACTTAAATGAATTTTAGGTATGAACAATTCGTTCAAGTAGCTTTCTAAGCTGAAGCAGTCTGGGTACACCGCTGATGAATGAGTTCAACCTCAAACCAGTGAAACATCCACCTAATAACGAGATCACTTTAATCTGACCAACGAGCACTTTATCGCTATGCGTTGTATATCAAATAAAACAAATCTAATTTAGAATTATATGAAAGATATTTATTCATAAATAAGCCATTTATATTTTCTATCTAAATGTATTCTGTGCTACTCTAACTTTTAAACAAATATCTGAAACGAATTCATCACATTAGAAACTTACTATTCTCATCTTCATATACTATTGGTCCATTCAAATCTGGATATTGAGCCATATTTAATGTGTCTTCATTTAATTTATTTAATTTCTGACATAATTCATTATTTATTGACTTAGTTTGTTCAAGATTTAATTCAATTTGGCGCTTAATTTCTTCATTTTCAGTTAATTTGATCTTAAAAGTATCGGAACATGAGAAGAACGATTTAAAATTTAACCTACCTTCATATCATTTAATGAATTCTCTAATTCTTCTACTTTGTTTTTATAGTTGATTAATTCAGAATTCAAGTGTTCCAATGAATTATTCTTCCCTTGAATTTGATTTTCTAACTGTTCATTAATATCAGTTAGTTGATTTATCTTCAATGAAAGCTTTTCATTGTTTGTAGTTAACATCTATGGGGAAATAAGTATGCAGAAAATTTCGAAAATAAAATCACTTGAAGTCAACATACTACTGATTATTTGTTAAGTAGTTAAAACTGTACGAACAAAATAATATATTTTAGTCGGGTATTTTTCAGACTAAGAACAAGGCATGTATCAGCGAAGAGTTATTTCTTTTCAACGACTTCATTATCAAGTTGTACAGTAGTATTTATACTCGGTAAAGTAACAGGTAATCGCACCAGAAAGTTGCTCAGTCAATATGCAAAATATAAAATAGATGTAGGTGGTGGTATTTGTTCAAGTGGAAGAGATAGAAAATGGATCACTGAATAGGGGACAAATCGATAACAAGTGGTGAGATAAGAGACACATGTTGTCAAAGAATTGTAAAACGGTGATAATTAAGCTAAAACGTGTAAAATAGGTCAATGATTGAGGAATGAATTGATATTAGAAAGTGAAATATGGGTAAAATGTTGTCAATGGATTGATAATGATGATAATAGAAGAGAAGTATACCAAAGTGAACTGAAAATTGACAAAATCAACAAAATGAATTGTTAAGGCCAAGGTAGAGAAAGTGATTTCACAAAACGTTTTTAAATGCAAAGTCTCGGTTTTTGTGTACATGTATAGCTAATGCGTCAGCTATGCATAAGTGGTGGAAACGTAAACCTATGGAGTAGTTCCATTAAACTTTGTAAATTATATCAAAGAATGAATCTTGAGTTGCTGAGTGTCCCAATTCAGCAAGGCGTTCATATATGGATGAAGTCGTTTTCCTTTTCTCGCTTCTGGTAAGCCAAACCGAGTAGTGTTCAGCAACACTTTTTCGTCCAATATTATCAGCTCCACAGGAGCATGTGAACTTGTAGATACACATAGATGTGGACATAAGTGGAAGTCTATATTCCACGCATTGACGAATCAGACGGTGGCTGTAGAATATCAGTCTCAGTCTAGCAGCATAGAAGCTACTATTGATACATCTTGACAAACGATTTCTCAGCACTTCGGCTGTGGTGTCTGCTTTAAATTCTAGATTCATTGTTAAAATTTTCTTAGGGATTATAATGGGATGGGAAGTAGTTCGTTTCTTCAGATTCTTACCAATAAATCTTTTAGGGTATCCGTTATTAGATAGTATTATTCTAAGAGTCTCGATTTCAGCATCCACCATATATTCTGAACATATTCTATAGATTATGGAGCACAGTGAGTGAATGAGATTTTCCTTACAACTAAGAGGTACCCAACTATTTAAGTTAGTGAACTGTTGGTTTTTGATAGACTGACCTTTGAATCGAGCAATCATCCCTTCTCTTTAATCTTACATCTAGAGAGTGGAACTTTGAGTTTAACTCTTACTCTACAATGAATTTAATGGACGGGTGACAATCACTGAAACGACTTAGCAGCTCGTCCATTGAACATATTTCGTCGCAAATAAGGGGTACTTAGACGACACTTTTCTTGATAATGAAGTCGTTGAAAAGAAATATTTCTTCGCTTATACATGTCTTGTTCATATTCATGATTAAATGGGTATATTTCGTCGGTTTTTTCAGAATACTATGAGGAAACCAACTTAAACAGTATGCCACTTTTAGTAATGAAATCTATTCATATTACACAATTTTATTTTTTAAAAACTTTTGAAGCATCATTAAGAAGTGAGGTGGCAGTCAGTAAACATACAGAATATACCATCATATGCTACTATTTGTACAAATGATAAGTCCAAGTAAAACTTTGATGAGAAGCAAATGTGCTGTCTTTATGGAATTATGTTACTAATAATGAGTCTTGGTTGTATTGTGTTCACCGAAGTGGATTGTTTAATCTTGAAGCTTTCATTGTCTTCCTAGACGACAACATCAGCACTAACTTCAGCATGAAGTGAGTGAGCTGTCAATAACTCTCCATGAGTGAATGATTCACTAGCTTGCCTTGACCAACTGGTCTCTCATTGGTTGCTCCCTCTCATTGTTGTGTCATTGACTGACTGCATAGATTTCACCGTTGCCCCCCCCCCCACTACTTACTTCACCTCTGACCTTCCTGTCACTTATCATTCTTCCCATCGGTTGATAGACTGGATCTATGTCTATACATCTCTCCATTGATTGCTCATTGACTGACTCATCTGAATGCTAAGCTTCTAGCAATTCTCTGATTTTCTTTCAGGTTCCTCTGTCCAACACTTCCACATTGTCGAAATTCAATTCATGTCCATTGTGGTTATCCATGTGGATTGAAATGAGTGGTGAAATGTCGTGTGTTGAATAGCCAGCCGATTGGTGTTCATGTAGACGAAGGTGAGGGGAGGGTGACCACTTTGTCCAGTGTAGTGCTGACTTCAGTTATTGTAGTTGATTTTGTCAATGATGTTCTGTTTGTCTTCTTCGGTTGTTGCATCCTTTGGTTTTGCACAATGTGTTTGTAGGGAATTTGTTGATTGATGAGACATTCCGATTCCACGAAGTGGTCTAAGTAATCTTGTTGTGATTTCTGATATATTCTTTATGTGTATGGTAGGATGGTGGGTTTATTGATATTTGTGGATGACTTTGTAGTTGATGTTGAATGGGATAAGGATTTTGTGATGAAGTTTTGTGGGTAGCTGTTCTTCTTAAGGATGGACATCAAGTGATTTTCTTCGTTTCTGTGTGAAGTTGTTGTACTGCAATGTGTTCTCACTCTTTTGAATAGAGTCTGTATGCAAGTAATTTTGTACGTTGTTGGGTTGTTTCTAGTGTGTTTGAGTATTTGATTAGTGTGTTGGGTGATGATGTTGTCTAGGAAGAGGATGGAAACTTCAGGAATAAACAACCCAGGTCATAGAACACAATACAACCGAGACCATACACCTGAGCTACAAATATTCTCCACCACTTCTATTCTTCTCTAGAGTTTCAGCGATGAGAGGAAACTCACTTGATGTGGTTATGAACTTTCATCAACTCAAGTGTCTAGGAGATATGTGCGATGCATGCCTATTCATTTAGTTTTCAGGTCTGTGGCTACTGATTGGTTTCCAAATGATACCGACCATGAACTGGCATCGGTTGTCGAAATATTCGAATCGCAGAATCACTGGACAGCTGCTTCGAGATGGATTTCCCTTGGTTCTGTAGAGCATCCATCTGAGCTACAAATATTCTCCACCACTTCAATTCTTCTCTAGTTTTGATCGTTCTTTGTTACTTGTTAAGATGATGCCATGGTTGACAAGTGTGAACATATAATCCAGTTGTCTGTACTTGTGATTTGATGACAAATAACAAGGTAAGTGAGGACGAGTTGTATATTCTGTTGAAAGGAGGCCTTCGGTAGAAAAATCGTGTAACTAATGCATGTTTGAATTGGTTACTTGAGAATTGGCATTTGTATGCCGGACTAATAGGGTGTTCGATTAGAGTTATAAACAAACTTGAAAACCGTACGATACATACACACTAGAAAAGTCATAACAGTTTGTAACGCATCGAATGAGACATGAAGCTGAAAAAATCTAACTAATCAAGAAAGGTGTTATTAATAAGTAGTGCAGTTCTGGAGAATATTTCTACCTTAGATTGTGGATGCTTTCAGTCGCTTGTTCTCTGAGCTAGGTTTTTAGTTGGAAGGCACTTCACAAAGAAGCTTTGGTGATATCTTGCGTGAAATCAAAGTGTTTGTCCATTATAACTTTAGCTCAAAGAAAAATTGGCTCTCAACACTGAGTTAATCGGAAAAAGGTGTAATAGGAGAAGCGAAATTTGATTTAGCCGTCTCAATGTAAGTTTGTTTAAGTTATACGAAGTAACTGTTACTGTCCGTGAATTTATACTACATATCAAAGGTGACTAACTTCTAAGAGTAAACCGCTAAAAGCTTTTAAACAGTTAGTAAATAACATAGGTCAGCGAAAATGTTATTCTGTGGGGGGTGGGGTTGTTGAAAATAAGGTGAACTGAGAGGCAGACAAATCCAGCTGACGAGTCCTAAATGAAAGGAAACACGCATCCTGGATTCCTCTGCCAGCCATTATAAATCATTAATATTGAACTGTTTTCATTTTATCAGATTGGTAGCATGTAGTATACTGAAAAATGGCTTACACTGTGATTGTAATTCCATTTTAGTCTGTTTATTAGAAATATAACACACAGTGAAGAAACGGGTAGCATTGACTGGATAACGTTTCGGACACAATTTATTGTCCCATATTTATATAAGACAGCTCCATAACTTTCAGACAAAGTTTATATAGTCCTAACCTTCTCTCCTTCTTTGTGATGACAGTGGTTGTAGAATTTTCTTTATATCTGTGATAGACAAAGATTCGGTTATCAATCTTTCTCTCCCTCTACCCAACTAAGTTTTTAATGCTATCGCTCTATTCCACCGTACTGTGTGATTATGTGTAATTACATGCTTAGCTATAGCCGAGATTTTCTCTAAATTTCTTATCTTACTACCATCTACTAATCTTGATTTAGATGAGTTTTTGTGCTGTGTTATTCTAATCGACCCTGCTCGACTGCTTTGACCTATGTACTTGACCTTGCAATCATTGCAAGGGATCTGGTAAACCAGATTATTTTGCTTAATTGCATCGATAGGATCTGTTAACCTACGAAGCTTGTTTCTAAGTGAATATGTTGGTTTGAATGTCACTTTAATCCTAGCCTTATTGAGAATTCTTGGTAATGCTTCTGAGGTGCTTTCTTTGTATGAGAAGACTGAAGAGACTGAATTCTTTCTCAGCCCTGTCACCATTGTTATCATTAGTAGCAAAATTATTATTAGCAACACCTGTATTACTACTACTACTACTACTACTACCACTGCTAATATTTTTCTTCGGATTTCTTATGAATTTATATATAAATTTTGGTGGGTAATTATTGAGACCTAGGGTATTCTTGATGTATCTAATTTCTTGTCGGAGATTTTTCGATCTACTAGTAAACTTTTTCGCTCTATCACTAAAGCATTTAACTACACCTACTTAAACCGAATTGGGAATTACAATCTATCACAGTGTCCAAGTTTTACTGTTATAATAATTCTATACAATTGTTTGACTGAATCTTATCTGGTTGCTTAATTTGTGTTCAACCAATGATATTGCAACAAATAATAGTTCTAGTCGAACAAAACTATTTTCTCACCTGACAAACACATCTTTTCAATAAAACAACTAATTCCGCGACCAGCGCGTTACCACTGATCCATTGGGTCAGAATGCAATGCTCCATATTTCCAACTTCTGTTAGATCACGATATAACGCAACCGCCACCCAATATCATCGCTGAGTAACTGTCCTCACGACCATCAGGCTTTGACTCCACCGGTCACGACTCAATGGCTCAATGGTAACGCGCTCGCCACGGAACCTAAAGGTCGCGGGTTCGATCCCTGGAGGTCGGAGTCGTGGGTGCGCACTGTTGAGGAGCTCCATGCTAAGACAAAACAGCTGTCCAGTGCTCCAAGGTTCCCTTTGTTCCTCCAACTGATGTCAGTCTTCGATGAATAACAACTTGAAATATTTCCAAATCTCCACAACCCCCTCAAAAAAATTTAACTGAACTAGTGCTCGTTGGTGACTAGCTTCGAGAAGTATTCCCGAAGTTCCAATGAGAAGTCGTGACCGGTGGAGTCAAAGCCTGATGGCCGTGAGGACAAATACTCAACGATGACATTGGGTGGCGGTTCGCGCTATATCGTGAGCTAACAGAAGTTGAAAATATGGAGCATTGGATTCTGATCCAGTGGCTGAATGGTAACGCGCTGGCCGCGGAACCTGAGGGTCGCGGGTTCGATCCCTGCTGGTGGGGTGGTGGGTGCGCACTGTTGAGGAGTCCCATACTAGGACGAAACAGCTGTCCAGTGCTCCTAGGTTCCCTTTGTTCCTCCAACTGATGTCAGTCTTCGATGAATAACAACTTGAAATATTTCCAAATCTCCACAACCCCCTCAAAATTTAAAACAACTAATTCTTTACCCAGATCTTACACAAAATAAGTCGAAGAAGTACATTATGCAATTAAGGTCAATCATTAACTTAAAGTAAAAATTATATTGAATAAATCATTAGTGTAAACGTAACTTTTATTCTGTTATTACCTACCGTAAATTGTGAATTCATATTTTGATTTTCTATCTCCTTTATTTCCAATTGTTTTGAAATATGCTGACAATTATTTGAAGTAGATTCTAGTTTACGTTGAAGTTCCAGAATACCCGATTTAATAGTTAATGCTGTAGTAAGTGAATTTTCAACAGTTAACTGATTCATGTCTACTTCGAAAAGTTTTTGTAAGTTTTCTGGATAAGGTAAAAAAAGAAAGGTGTAAGTATTAGCGAATTTTTTTTCGAATAATGATTGATGAATAACATAAATTTCTTTAGCAAATGGTTTACAAATAAGCTTGATATCAGAAGGAAACGAAGAAAGACTCTTGAATTTGGAGTTTTCAGTTTACTAATACTTATTACCATCACATGTGAACCTGTGTTATAAAGGACGGGTGTACTGTACTGCAGTCCCCTTAACCCTGTTATACAGCTGAGAGACATGACCGTTATGAGTAGGATACGTGAAACGGTTACAAGGTTTTGATAATAGACGTCTTCGTAACATTGCTTGGGCATAGCGGAATCACTGTCTCAGAAATGTAGAGGCTAGGTGAAGAGTTCTTGGTTCGACGGCAAGTCGACTGATGAAGTTGTGGACCTCACTTACCTGAGATGGCTTCAACATGCATGGCGCTTGTCGAGTTACCAGCTACCACGGCGTGACATGCTAAATGAAGTTGAATTAGGTTGGAGGGGGGTTCACAGTGTCCAGGCCAACACGTGGCACCAGTCGATGTAGTTTCTTACTGTCCATTTGAGCCGTATGGGAATGTGAAAACTACCTAGATAGGAATCAGTGGTTGAGGACTCTTGGTGACATGACTGAATATCTGTCACGATGACGCAGTTGTGTTCACTCCTTAACATCTACTAAAGCCTGAACGTTCGCACCAACCTTTGTCTTCAAACTGCTTGTTCTGTCACACAACTTTGTCCACTTTGATATCAGTTTTTCTATCCATTTATTCCTTTTATACTACTTTGAAGTGTGGCAACGTGAGGTAATGCATCTGTGTACGAAGTTTTAGATTGATTTTGTCTACCTTTTGTTTGAACTTGTGTTATTCAAAGCCTTATCTATTAGCATTCAGCTAGTAGCCTAATGACTACTGAAATACTGGGTTACACATACAAACTAGTTATTGCATGGAAATCAACGTCATTTACTAATCTGTTTAGTTAATGAAAGTATTTAAGTGTCGAAAAGTAGGAGTTGATTGACAGGAAACCCTGGATCTACGATTCATTCTTATAAAGAAACTGTTATTTTCTTGTGAATTCGAACTAGTGTCATTCAGTGTTGAAGTTCGAAGGTTCACCCAAAAGGTATACAAGCTTCGGTTGACCTTCTGTTGTACTGGATCGAATACACGAATTGGTGACCAGTAAGTAAAGAATGTAGCAATAAAGGATGCAGATAACAGCTTCTAAGGGAACATAATTTTCCCAGAGGTCATAAATCGAATATCAAGAACTGAATGGAAACTATTAGTAAATTCCTTCAACATTCCCTGTTACTTGTTGATATTCTCCAGGAAGTTTAGTTTTACAGCTCATAAACCTGTTGACTTTCTATCATGGAGCATTCAGCTAAACCAACAAATATTGTTATCTTTGAAACAAAAACATCACTCATTAAATAAATGTACCTCTCAAAGTCATAGGACTCGTCAGCTGAATGTACCTACTTCACAGTGAGTGGTCTTGTTCCCACACTAAGGCTTTGAATGAGAAACCCATCGCTTCAAACTCCAGATGGTTATCTACTAGGCTGTCAAGATAGTTGAATTCTTGAAATTTTTAATCACGATGTACGTGAACAAATCTCAGAACTCATTGTCTCGTTAGAAGTTTATTAGTGAAGATCTTCATTGATTATTTACAAAACAAACAAATTAGCTGAACTAAGGTAATCCCCCTTTAAGTTTTGTCTGGAAAGCATGATCTTATCCTGTCTGAAGGTTCACGATTTGTTTCCACATCTGTTCGAGTGTTATCATTGAAAAACACTGACAAAGGAGGACGGCACGTTTGTACGGTACTTCAACCTAAAATTGGTATACACTCTTATGTGGACTGCATTCCGTTGAATCGTTTATTGTATTCATCAATATACAAACAAGTTGCTTGAAGTTACTGTGGCAAACTAATGTGCAAACACTATTCCACTAGTTTTCGAATAACGGTAGATATTCTCATAAGGTTATGAACTTTCATCGACTGAAGTGACTGGGATATGTTTTACGCATACCTAGTCACTATCCTCTCGTTGTGTAATGTTATCTAGATTAAAACATGACACTAGTGTATCGAATTCTTAACTGTTACTCTAAGTCCTGTAGGAAAATGTTGAATAACTCTCGGTTGGGATCTAAGTGAAAACAGAAACCAGTGGTTGAAGAGTCTAGGTGATATGGATCGGTATTGATATCGATGATGGAGATGTATTCAAAGATTTTCTTCATCTCAGTCATCATGCTGAATTTCATTATCGTCTTATTCTTGTCGTTTGATGTAGTGATATGAGGTGTGGTGGTTCGCACCATTACATAGTAGTGTCAGGTTCCAAGTTGATGTTATCTGTTTGACAATAAAAAAAAACAATCTGTGAAACTTTTTTTGAAGCTGACGGTTTTTAGATACCTGTGGTATCTTTGTTTCCGACTATTTATAAGTGTTTACCATTGTATTTTCGAGGAGTGGACTCATAAACTTCATTTTTCTAACTGAATGTACTACCAACCATCTGTACTTTCTAAGCGTGTCTAAAAAATGAGGTAAACAGGTATGACTAGAGTGAAACATGATTCCCAGTAGGCTTGGAGATACGCCTATATGATGATATTTAGCAACAAAAAGACAAAACATAGGTCAAATGTCTCTTTAAAAACTTTTCTGGTGTTTAAAAACTGAACGTTATTGTCTGTTTTTAAATTTAACCTGTTCAAAGTTGACCGTCTGGTTTATATACTATTCAACATTTTACTATAACTACTACAGGAATCCATAAAATTGTTATACGTATAACTATAAGTATGATATTTCTTTATTTGTTGATGATTAGTGGTGGAATCCAAGATATCTACTTCATCCTGCTTAAGACTCTTCAGCTAAATATTCTTCCACCCCAACCAATATTCAGAAACCAAATAGTTCTCCCCAATCATATAACTGATGAGAACAAATTATAGCCATTGCACAAATGATGATAATTGCCTGATGGATAAAGTTGTTGTGTTTGGGACAGACACTGCTAGATTTGACTCACTGTGGAATAAGGCTTATCACTTTGACGAGGTGAGAACATAATATTTGGGTTACTTGTCCTAGCAACTATCTATCGAATGACAGGAACATACTGAAGCCAAGACAACAGTTTACACATCTCATACATCGATAAACAAACAGACAGACAGACAAAACAGTTAGAACTAATCAAGTGTAAAACGAGAAATTAAAGCATATACATGTTTTTGGCTAAATGGTTAAAATGTACTAGAGTATTTTACCCTTCAAACAACAAAAATATGGGACCCCTCAGCAGTGCGCACCCACGACCCCACCTTCCAGGGATCGAGCCGCGACCTCCAGGTTCCGCGGCCAGCGCGTTACCATTCAGCCACTGGGTCAGAATCCAGTGCTCCATATTTCCAACTTCTGTTAGCCCACGAAGCTCACGAAGTTCCAATGAGAAGTCGTGACCGGTGGAGTCAAAGCCTGATGGCCGTGAGGACAAATACTCAACGATGACATTGGGTGGCGGTTTGCGCTATATCATGAGCTAACAGAAGTTGGAAATATGGAGCATTGGATTCTGATCCAGTGGCTGAATGGTAACGCGCTGGCCGCGGAACCTGAGGGTCGCGGGTTCGATCCCTGCTGGTGGGGTGGTGGGTGCGCACTGTTGAGGAGTCCCATACTAGGACGAAACGGCTGTCCAGTGCTCCTAGGTTCCCTTTGTTCCTCCAACTGATGTCAGTCTTCGATGAATAACAACTTGAAATATTTCCAAATCTCAACAACCCCCTCAAAAATTTAACAAAAACATGATTAGATTCATAATCACTACATTACCTAGACTATTTTCCATTACTTGACATTGGCTTTCTAATTCATTTATTCGAGTTTCTTTCGCTTTCAACATTTTGTTTAAATGTTCCAAATTAACATTGAATTTTAAATTTTCTTCTTGTATTTCAATATACTTTTTGTTTAATTCAACTAATTGTTCAGATAATTTTTTATTGCGGCTGTTTAACTCGTTCTTCAACAAAAGAATAAAGAAAGGAAGCATTTTAGTAAGTGTATGAAAGATTGTTATTATTGTTTACATATATATAATTTTGAAAAAAATGATAAATGTATTCAACCATAGTGTGGACCAGTATCTAACCAATGTAGCGCTCAAGAAAAAGACTGATTTAATCAATTTTTAGATTGGAAATCATCATGAACTGACATCAGTTGAAGAAAGATTGGAAACCTGGGAGAACTGGACAGCTGTTTCATCCTAGTATGGACTCTTAAGGAGTGCGCACCCATGACCATGCCAGGGATCACACCTAGGACCTTTAGGTTCCTTGACCAGAAACGTCACCATTTAGCCATTGGGTCGGAATCTAGTGCTCCACATTTCCAACTTCTGTCAGTTCACGATATAGCACCACCTGTATCCAATTGCATCGTTGAGTAACTGTCCTCATGTCCGATTCCACTAGTCACGAAGTCTTATCGGAACTTCAGGAATCACCTCTTGAAGTTAGTCACCAATGAGCGCTAGATTAATTCTAATTGGAGGTTTGTGGAGGTTTATTAATTAATTTTTAGGTTGGTAGTCATTGTGGACCGACATAAGTTACAGAAACATTGGAAACCTGGGAGAACTGGACAGTTGTTTCGTCCCAGTATGGGACTCTTCAGCAGTCCGCATCTACGACCACTCCGAAAGGAATATATTTATTGTTAGAAAACTAAAAGGCGGAATCAGTCTGCCTTAGTAAAGATTTTCAGTGAAAAAAAACAAACTAATAGTGATGTAATAGTAGCTTTTAGTTTCGCCTCATTGACTGGATCGAAATGATGGTCACATTTTGTCGTCTAAGCTCCTGAGTGCATACTGACAAGTTCTGGGCTCAACTGCAAGCCAATATTCATCATCAGTCTCCAAATAAAGCAGTTCTCAGCATCCTTTTGATTCCCAGAGACTTGAATAGCCTTGATATCTTTAAAAAGAGGATTTTTCAGATATAAATGCCAAAATTCTATGGATTACGAAAAACTGGAGATAAATATATAAGTTTATAAAGAATAGACTGGTTTTCTGGATCGAAAACTGCTTGCTTTATTCCTCATGAAATGATACTTTTGTGTCAGAGATAACACCTTGTGATTATGGTTGAGTGATTTCTAAGGGAAAACTTGTTAACACTACAGTTGGCCAGTTGGAAAACTACTTGACTGTAAGAAATGTCAACATGAACTGTGCAATTTGTAAACCATTTGCAAATTTTCTTATCCTATGCAAAAACTAATTCTGTTAAGATAACTGATATGAAGCTCTAGGTGATATAGAGGCGTTTGTCACATATCTAAGGCCATGATTTTGATAAGAATTCAGCAATATGTATTGACCAAGAATAAGTTGACTAGTATATTTGAAGATGAATGCCGAAAGCTCGAGGACATCAGGCGTGAGGCTCTCTAGTGAAATCCAAAGGGGAAACGACGAGTTGGGCATCCCAGCTGAGGGTGACATGGAAGAGATCATGTGAAGAAGAAATGAAAGCTTGTGGGCAGTCATGGAGCCAGGTTCAAAAGACTGCAATGGAGACGTGCTGCTGAAGCCCTATGTTCCACAAGGAACCCAATGGACAAATAATAATATAATTGAACTCATTTAGCCCTTCAGGCGATTATGGAGAGTTTTTGTCTGAATTACAGACAGTCCGTGGTCACCAAGAGGGATGTTGACTTTCATCACGCCTGTTTAGTTTTCTTATAAATGTGGTATTGGATATGACTCTAGGTACCTCCAATCTCCAACGGGTTAACTTACTCCTAGAGGAGTATCTGGTTAACTTGAAGCATGAAAATGGCATAGGTGAAAATCCCCATGAAATCCAGGGTCTTTTGAACTCCTTGAGCAGAAGTCTGAGTATTTTTGGCAGTCGTTTGCATCTCTTAAGTGTAAAATGATGCTTCTCGAGTAGTCTGCAGTTACTTCCAGTTTAAGGATAAGAAGTGAAGTAGTCGAATGCATTGACCACTTCATTAACTTGGGGAACTGGATCAACTCAACTGGGTTGTTTGATGATGAAATCTTTAGATGGGATAAAAACGGCCTACTTAGTATTCACCAGTCTATGTCACTGTTAGCACTGGTGATATATCCAGCTACCTATCAGGAAGTAAATATATCACTCAATAGTACTCTATGTTCTTTTATGAAGCTGTGATACATAACCTCTGAGAGTAAAAGATATGAAAAGGTGAAGGCTTTTTGACCATAAGTGACTTCATAGCATTACTCACTTATGGTGGAATCACCGTGTGAGCAATAGCCACACAAAGGGGGATACATAAGGCAGTCATTCGATGAGGTTGTGAATCTTCACCTCCTAGCTCTCCATGAGCAATTTACTGAGTATTATGGTATGAAATCCAACAAGAATACTTGTAATTCCATTCACGTATTTTACGGCTTGTTTCATTTCTTATATTCACCCAATTATCTAGTGTCACTTGTTCACTTTTGGGATTTGATTAGACTGAAGCACACAGTCGATTGTGGAATACACAGATATCGACTTAATTCAGTAATCTAAGTTGTGAAAGGTAGAAAATACACAGAATTCAGAAGAAAACTAAGTGTTACGCAGCTGTGAATATCAGTAGGTAGTTGGAAGCGATTACTATTAACAAGTCTGAAATCAAAGTGTTGACAGTAAAATGTAACATCCGAGAATTCTATTCCCTATGATGAATTTTCGATGACATAAATATTGTCTGTAATAGGTTTCAACAGACTAAGTAGATTACTTAACAATAGAATGGAATAACTATTAAATTTGTTCACATTTCACCTTATTTCCTATTCTACGATGTGGTTATCGTTTTACGCTTACATCTCTATACTACTTATTATGTTTAAGCAGTAGTATTATCTTCATGGCAGTTATTTCATGTGAATAGATTAGTTTCTTCATAATAAATTCATGAACTTTTCATTTTTAACGCTGATTCGACTGTAAGATAGCGTTGCGATGTTCGATTTCTTCATAGATAACCTTCTTGAGAAGTGTCCTTGACAAGGTAATCAACATTGAGGTACTTAATGATTAAAGTTTTGTAAATCTACCAATCATTACTGGGTTAATTAGTATAGTCTTGTAGACAAATAAAATGTTCTTGACTTCGAGATATCTCATATTACTCTGGTACCGAGGTTTGTTTGAATGTCTAGTTTGCCAATTCCAGAAAGAATTCTACACGAACAAGACAAGAATGACACCAACACCATTCTATGGTGAGATGAACAATAAAATGTGATGAAAATTCAGGGTTAATCAATAGTTATCCTAAAAATTTAGGAAGTTTTGACTAGGAGTTGAGTGAAATACAACAAAATGCAGTAGCCATTGAGAACAAAGAGATAGAGGTGAATGGATAGTTAGTTGTGAATGAAGTGTGATATTGATTAACTCAGATGATAAGTAGGAAAGGATAAGAAAAGGAATTTAATACATATATTTAGTACGTAAAGCTCTAGTCATTCAGCTAGATCAGTCAATATCAACGTAGGATGTGCTATAATGGCTGAATGACTCAAGCTACCATACACTACATCAATACATCAAAATACAAGAGAGTAAGTTGAAGTGTAGAAGAGGAAAATGTAGCAAAATGTTGTAAAAAGTCATAAGAAGACAGGAGTAAAAGGTGAAACAATAAAGGAATTCGATGTGACAATAAGAAAGTCAATAATATATATATATATATATATATATATATATATATATATATATATATATATATATATATGGATGTTTCTCAAGTCTTCAGCCATTGATTACGGTTGTTACGTGAAAACCAACCGGTAATTTTACATTTATCTATGCAGTTCATACTTCATAGACTGATGGCACGTTCAAGTCTGATCACCGTTGATATTTTTTCTAGTCTACTATTAATTCAACTCTATTTTCTTTATACGTGTGTCTAAAGACAAAGAAAAATGGGAAGAAAAGGGAAGCTTATGGTTTTGAGTATATAATCCACCTTAAAGGATCAGTGTTGGTAAGGTGTTTGAAAGTGGTGGTTATGATAAATAGCAGAGCCTAGTTAAAATCAAGTAGTCGTTTGAAAGTGATACACTTTAATCGACTAGTATGTATAAAAGTGTATTGATAGATACAAATTCGAAAGATGAGAGCGATGAAATTTCTCTTCCGTTATTAACAGAGTTAAAAGTAAGAACCAATGAATTTCGTATGATTGAAAACTAGTTCTATTAAATTCTTTTTTCAATCATCCCGAATAGATATTCAACATACAGATCCAATTTTCTCAAATACGACATAGCAGATGATTTAATGTTTTAATTTGGGGGGTTTGTAGGGATTTTGTGATTTTTCAAGTTGGTATTTATCATGGACTGATATCAGTTGAAGGAACGTTGGAAATCTGAGAGCACTGGATACCTGTTTCGTCTCAATATGGGACTCTCAGCGGTGCTCACCGATGACCTCGTCAATGATCTGTACATTTATTCATATGAATGTTGTAGTTGCAAAGCAATTGAAGTCACTCTGAAGGCCACCCTAGTAACTACTGAAATACTCAATCAAGTCTTTATTTTGACTAGAAATATGATGGCCTTTAAAGTTATTCAGGAGTTAGTGTTGAATATGTTATGCTTTTTTTTTTCATATCAATCTTTATATCCATAGAAGCTGTATTTCTAACACAATCCATTATCCTCCCATTCATTTATATTTCATTGACAACAACTCATCTTTATTTGCGATGAGTCTTACTCACTTTATCTATCTATACTCCTTTTGCACATGTAAAATACATTTTTGATCAGTTGCTTTAGTCTCTGATTGATTTTGTGCATGAACTCATTTCCGTTATCGGCTAGTTTGCTAGTTTGAGGAACTGTTAAGTTGGTTCTGGTTGCTTCTTTCTTGTAATTGATTCACTGATTTTCCTTCACGGGAGCATACAATTAAAGGTTGCAATTATTATTTCACTTATGTAAGTAAACCTTGTTTACAGTACCGCTGGAATGAT